AACTACCTTAGTGTTCGGTTGCACAACCACCACTGCCTTGGATTGCTTATTCACATTATTACATTTCCCACACATCTTTTCCTTCTCTGGTTACTTCATTTATTTGACTTAAGTCCCTTGCTGGATCGAGCACCTGGCTTTCCTTCCTCTCTTTCCATTTACAATGTTTTGGACTTGTAGCTTGACTAGGAAGTAGTTTTTGGATCAACAAAGTATGAATGAAAGCCATTAAGAGTCACAGAAGCAAAAGGAAAATAAAGAGGAAAAGAAATATTTTATAGTTTCTCTGGTGTGAAAAACTGAAAGTGTACATAAGGTTCAAATTGTATAATTGATAATGTGAAATAGGAAGAGAAAGTCTAAAGGAATAAGGGAAGTGGGAATGGTAGGGGAAAGGAAAGAAGAGAAAAGAAAAAATGTTAGAAAATGAAAATATGGAAACAAAATCTTTGTAAATAGGGAAGGGTAGAGGGTGCAAAGGGAGGACAGAGAAATGGGGAAAAAAATAACCAGATATGTCATGTACAAGATCCCAATGATGAATGTAACTGTACTGTATACCTAAAATGTACCAATAAACTTAATGGGAAAAAAAATATTTTTGAGCTACAGCTCCTGTGCAATGAAGGAGGTACGAGATAATAAAATAACAAAAAGAGTACTCTTGGAATAAAAAGTATCTAGCTACAGACACTGATTTTAACACTCACTATGTTTGCCTTGAGCAAAACCCTTCGACATCAGAGGCTAACCTTACCCCTAGTTTACTAAAGCTAATTATGTCATTTAAGAGCCATTTCATGAGATAAAAAGAGGCATCACAAGCAATTAGTACAGTACCTGGCACAGCACACAGGCCATGGTCATAAGTGATGGCTGTTACTTTACCTTCAAGGTCATAGCATTTGATTCTCGTCCTATAACTCATAGTATCCTGAGAGCTAGGTAGGACTACTGTCCCTACTTTAGTCGAGGAATTGCTACCACAGAGGACTGATGTCCAAGGTTACATAGCATGTGGACCTGACCCACATAAACTCCTCTTCAATTCCTGTTCTCTTCACTATGCAAATGATATAAGGGGAATAGATGTAACTCCCAAACCTACCAGATATCCAAAAGTTTGTTTTCTCTAAAACTGAAGAATGAATTCTAGGAACAACGAAGTTTAAGAGTAGGAAAATTTATTGAGACAAAGATAGCTTCTGTCTAAGAGAGACAGAGGGGGTCCAGAAAGTGGGTTGTCTCAGGCATGTGTAAATACCGAATAGTTTCTCTGGTGTGAGAAATTAAAGTGTAAATAAGGATCAAAAGGCATAATAGATGCTGTGAAATAGGAAGAAAAGGTCCAAAGGGGAAGGCAAAGTGGGAAGGATTGTGGAAAGAAAAGAAGGGAATGGAATTAATATGAGAAAATCAAAAATACAAAAACCAAGTCTTTGCAAATAGGGAGGGGTGGAGATGTTGAAGGGAGGGTACAGGGATGAGGAAAAAATAAGAACCAAGATATAGCATGTAAAGGTACAAATTTCAGTGATGAATGTCATTATATTGTATACCTAAAATGTACCAATAAAATTATTTTTTTGAAAAAGAAAAAAACAAACGGGAGAATAAAACATAAGTATAAATATATTCTTTTAAAAGACAATTAGATTTCTGAGTGTGTTGTATGCAGTTGTATATGGCAGAGAGGGTAAGATTTAAATTTACTAAAGTTTTGTCCACCCCTGAGACTAGGTATCTCTGTCTTGCCTGTATTCTCAATACCAAAATTGGTGGTGAAAAGAGAATATCACTGAGGTGTCTTTTTTCACTGGAAAAGAGTTTGACATTTTGCCTGTGTGCCCTCGGGATCTGGTCCTGGTCACCACAGAAGAGTCATTTTGGCCTTCAAATATGACATTTGAACGTGCGCAGATGAGGATATATGTTTCTTACTATTGTTAGAGTTCCTGTTTAGACATCCCTGAAAGCCTCATCCAGATGACGTGGGGCTTTCCTCTTCAGAGATGGCTGAATCTGGAATGTGAGGCTGGCATTAAGGGTGTGTGATTATTAAACCACTACCCGTGAGTGATTAGTTTGGTACGGCCCTAATCTGGTTCTCTGGATGGAACAAAAGGGGCAGAAGGATGATGTTAAGGTCGCTGTTGCTTTTGCTGCTTCCCATGAACTATTGCATCTGTGCCACTCTGCCTTGAAGCCAGTCAACTATGGACTGAAACCTATATGAACTGTAGGCCAAATAAACCTTTCCCTCTTAAAAAAAGAAAAGAAAAGAAAAAAAAAAAAAAGAAAGTGGGTTGCCTGCCGACCCCGCTTTTCAAAGGTGTTTTATACAGCAAAGACATGTGGTGAGGCAGGTACACAGTGGAACAAAACTTTAAGACCCAATGGAAAATTACAAGGTGGGCATGAGGTGGGACAAAACCACAACCAAACAATAAGATTTCAAATATAATCACCCAGGTAACACTGATTAAATGGGGGATCAAATGGGAAAACAAGTTACATACAAGGAATTTCCCATTTAGAGTATCAATCACTGCCATCTCAAGGGGAAGTCTTACCTCTTCTTCTGAAAATGCTAACCAGTGAATGTGCCTCAATTGTTCTCCATGTTGGCCCCTTGATGTGTTGGCTCCTGGAGGGCTGGAACCTTGAGGAGGATTAGGGCCTTGAGGGCTGGTGTATTGAGGAGGGCCCTGTCTAACTGCCTACAAGATACCTAATTAACTGTCTACAATAGAAATACTTAATGACTATGTTATTCAAACTACTACTATCATTTCCCACTAGAAAAGTTTCCTTTTCTAATTTATAGAAAGACCATTGCTTTGCATTTTTCATATTAATGGATTAAAATCCCAGTTATGTTTTAAGAAAGGCAAATAAAAGACTGATATACTAAAATCCCAGGCAAACTAGCTCTCTACTATAGATCTTAATAGTCAATACAGTTCATGACAAGATTAAAGCTATGCCAGTTATAGCCATGATTTCCAGTAGATTTTTCTTGTCATGTGTTATGGCTTGTGTCTGGATGGAGCCGAAAGCCTCATGTAGTCATCAGTGAGGCTTTTTAGATATGGCTGGATCTAGGGTGTCTGATGCTGGGATAAGTGTATGATGCTGGGATCTAGAGTGTGCGATTACTCAATTAGTCCACTGGACTGGTTTGGCACAGCTCTGAGTGTGGAGATGGGAAGGCCCACCCTGGTTTAGGTGCTACCTGCACTAAGACCACGTAGGCTGGACAGAATCTATGACAGAAGGAAGACTGTTGTCTGCCTTGTTGATGCCTTTCCGCCATGCCAACCTGCCTTGGAGCCAGTCGACTATAAAGTAAAACCTCTGCAATCTGCCAGCTATAATAAACTTTTCCTCCTTTAACTTTACATATTGGGTATTTTGTTTCAGCAACAAGAAAGGTAATTGAGATATCATGTCTCACTCTAAACATTCTCTTTACTGACATGGTAGAGAAAATAAGATAAAGAAAATCAACCAATCAAGAATAAAAATTATGTATCAACTAGGAATATGTAAAAAAATGTTAAATTTTTTTATCTGTTGGCCATTTACTATAAGATAGGTCTTGATAAACACATTTAGTTTTATTTTGTATTCTGCATTCAAAGGGTACAAAGGTAGATTATAAATGACAAGTGTTGGCAATTATGTTTTTGCATATGCAATATATTTAATGCATAAAGTGGCCTTCAAAATGATTTCCTTTATGGAAAACGAAGAACCTAAAACTCTGTGAGGCTAAATAACATTTCTATCACTCTCATGATTGATGTAGTTAGTGGCAAAGGTGAGCTTCAAGCCTCCAAACTTGGATTCAGTGTAGAAAGACAATTGGGTCATGAGTCAGGAGAGCCATGTTCAGGATCCTGCTTACTTGTAGGGCCTATGTGATTTTAGCAATGCAAGTCAGGTTTCTGGGCTTATGTTTCCTTATTTCTAAATGAAGACAAAGCATGGCTTTTTGTCTCTTCATATTTCTTCCAGTTCTGTGAAAACGTATTTTTCAGATATCAATTACCACTAGAGGCTAAAGATTGTTTATAACTATCTCATTCACCAATGGAAGATGCCGCACTACTTTTATTTCTAACACAGTACTTCCAGTAAGTCCACATAGCTGAAAGTCCCAGGGAATGAGTTATAAGTCTCTGCATTTAAATTTGACTAATTTCCTTTTTCTGGGCTGAATGGGAGATGGAGGCTCCTGGAATAGTCTTGAGCACCGTGGTGAACTGCTAATTTGAAACCACAGGGTGCTCTTTGAGAAACTGCAGACTTGCATCTGATAACCATTTTATGGGAATGTGCCTTGGCCTTTTAGTTGTGGTTCCCCGCAAAATGCCATGATGAGTGACATGCTTCCAGCAGATGAAAGCTCCATGGGGGTCTCTGCCAAAGACCTCTGACTACATCACTTGGCATTTGCTGATTTCTGCCTATTTTCTATATAAGAGAATGTCTCTGGACTATGCTTTCATTTGAATCTTTGGTATTCCAATGAAATTCACATGCGGTCAAATGGAAATGCTATCTTCAACTTGTGTATTGGACTGAGAAAATTATATTTCATCATTTCAAAAGCATATAGGCAAACTTTCCAACCATGGCTCCTTCTTTTTTGTTCAGCTAAAGCAAGTAAGGAAATAAAACCAATTAAAAGAGGAACAGAAAATTAAATAGTATGTATCAAATCCCAACCCTATATTAATATAGAGTACACTTAATTTAGATATAATATAAACATAATATGTATATCATAGATATACTAGTTATATGCATATTTTATATATGTAAGTGCAGAAATATATTCACACACACATACATACACAGTGGACACTTGACTGACAAACTCAATTTATTCACATGGGATGGTTGTAACTCAAATTGATCACACAGCCTTCAAAGTCTCTCTCCTGCACAAAGGCAGATCTCAGTGTCCTTAGAGCAACACTGGCCCAGGATTTCTCAATTGACCTCACACTGGACAGGATGCTGTAGTACTCTTTCCAGGACTCTTGAAGTGTTAAATCTGTATCTGAGACCAAATAAAAGCACAAGTGGTTGCCATCTGGGTCATAACTCAAGACTTTGGTCATAAATTAAAACTAAAATTCTGGTTGTAACCTAAGTTGTTCATATGTCAGGCTGGTCATAACTTCAGGGATATTCCCTATAAGAGATATTATGAACTGTGAAGAACTCTAATTTAGGAGCCAGACTGCCTGGTTCAAATTTTAGCTCTACTACTTACAAATCCCACAGATTTGAGCAAATCATTTGACTTCAGTGCCTCAGTTTTTGCGTTTGTGAAAAGGAAACACTATAGCAGCATAAATGGTTCTTGTCAAGAGTATTAGGACTCTGAGATTATGAAACCCTTATGGTTTCTCTTGGAGCACACTACCTTCCATGATTTGTAGTCCAATACCACCTAGAATTCTCACACAGACAGCAAAAGCTTTTCTTGTTTGCTGTTTATTGAAGGTTTGCTTTGTGACAATTAATATGCTAGACATCTTCAAAGGAGAACTAAAGGAATACACCATTTACCTTTCCAAAACTGTAACATAAAGGAAACTAGTAGGAGCAATAACTACTAGAAGTGTGTTGATTTATGAATTGTGTGTGTGTGTGTGTGCATGTGCTGTTTTTATTATTATTATGATTTTTTTTGTACCTGGGATCAAATTCTGGTCCTTGTGCTTGAGAGGCAGGTAGCAGAACCACTGAGCTAAATCCTCAGCAAGTCTGTTGCTTTAATAGAAGAAGTATATTGTGAAAGGGACATATTCATCTTGGTTTCAGAGAAGAAGTATCTGGGTTCCATCTGAAAAAGATTAGGGATTGGATACTGCAGGCAGAAGAAAGGACACTGACAAGACAGAGGTAGGAAAGTTTCTGGTGTCTTTGGAAGCATTGTGTAACAGCAAGAGAAAACATTAGCTGGTTATGTGCATGACAACCTCACGCATTAGGCTTTCAATGTCCTAATGGCAGAGACAGTTTCAACTCTGTATCTCCCAGGAAGAAAGTCTCACTATGATACAAGTATGAGAAATGTTTGGTGAATTGGTTTGAGAGGAAAAAGTGGTTTCGATACTAAGTGTTACAGGATTTCAGAGAAAAGAGATTTATTTTATTGTAGAGGTTTTGTGGAGGTTTCAATTAGGCTGGTAAGTTTTCAGAAGGGTTTCAGTATAATTTAATTTTTGGCAATGAAGAGTCAAGTTAGAGCAAAGAGCAGGAACAAGAGCACTCATTGCATTGTAGGGCCCATGGTCTCAGAGGTTATATATTGTTTACATGTTGTTCATCTCCTGTTGATCAAATCACCTTTCCTTTCAACTTAGAGGAGTCCAAGATGTTCTCTCAGTTAAGTGTCCTGCTCCCAATCTAAAAAGAGGAATACAAGATTCATGTTGGCCCATGTGGGTATGATGTCTTACCTGCCCCTTCCAATCTGTCCTAGAAAGGAGAAGGAGCCAAATGAGACAAATAGGAGTCATTATTTGAAGACTTCAGTTCTGGGAGACAGATGATTTTCATTTTAGGTCATGGACTGTGATGTCCTCCCACTGAGAGGGAAGAGTCTTCCAGATAGCAAAGCAAACAAACAATGGGATACTCTGCAAACACAGCGTGGGACCATTTCTCCAAAATTCTACAACTTCCCAGTAACACTGAAGACATCTCCTCCTCTTTCCCTTTTCCACTTCCTCTCCTTAGCTCAGTGGTTCTGCTGCCTGCCTCTTTCCTGCTCCTTTTTTATTTTGTTTTTGTTTTCTGTACTTTAAGAAAGTCCTTCCTATTCAAGATGAATGGTAAGGACTAAGAAACTTTCATTTTAGAAATGATTATTATTAAAATCAGAAGTTCAGGTAACATATGGAAGTAAATTCTTAGATGTGTGACTCTAGAATCAACTGAACAAAGAAGCCAGGAAGCCAAAATTGGACTCACTGTGAAGAATCAATCAGGCAGTGGGATAGAATCTAACGTTGCCTCCATTCTATTAAAAATAGGATCAGATAGCTTCACACCATGGCTTGAAAGTCATCCCAGTTAAGCAGCAAATTAGAAAGCCAAATGTGTGACCTTCATCTTTAGTGACCAATTCCTATTCTCAATCATTTTGTTCATTTATAACCCAGGTATTAATTGATCATTCAATGAATAAACACATGATCAGTTTGAAGGGTGAGACACTAGAGACCTTATTAAGAATGGGAAAGCTAAATGATTTGTAGTACTAGTTGTGTATATTAGAAAATTTTCTCTTCAATGCCCTGAGTTTGGTGAAGTCCATCAGTAGTAGTTTCTAACCAATAGTGGTTTCTACTGACTACTGTTCAGACAATTGTAGTGCAGTACTTTCAAGCTGTTATAATACTGCAATACACTTCACAGTGTCGAAGGATCCTAACCACTTGTAATTTCCTTTCGATTTTAACCATCTTTCTTCAACAGTGTACTTTGAAGGAAGTATTTTTAGCTACTCATTCACACAATTATCATTATCACTTATACACTTTTGTCAACCATCATAACTTAAAGAAAGTCCAATAGAGAAAATAAGTGTCATGCATATAGTAGGAATTGCATATGGTAGCACGTCTTAGTTCATGTCAACACAGTACAGCTCCATCGCTAAGGCCATTTACAAGGTGACTCATAAAACTCATTGCACCCAACTAATTCTGGTTGAGAACACAAATAAATAGAGCACATTTTTAAGAGTAGCTCTAATATGCTGTGATGTCATGTATTATATAAAAAGCATTGAAGACAAGTAGCTTTTAACTAGTCAGTGATATATGGTGAGCTATTCAACAAATGCATGTCCCTTTATATAAGTAAAAGAACTTCATTAAGAACAACCTGAAAGTAGACCTAAGTAGGATGTTATGGAACACAGTGACAAGCTCAGCTAAACTGGATCTTGAGATGAAGGCAGGAAAGAATGAGAAATGCACTTTGACAGGGAAGTAGAGGGAGAAAGTTTGGAGTATGCATAACCACCTGCTGTGCTGAAAAGATCAACGAAAATATAAAACTCTAGCTGAGTTCTTATAGATTTTACCATAGTTTTTTTCCTAATGGCCCACAGCCATGGTCAGCTACTGGAAGAGCTGGAAACTGCCAGAGGAGTAGGTGACTGGAGCCCCTTTTTATAGCTAGCTTTATTACTGTGGCATTATTTTATACCTCTTTGGGTTATTCTTTTCTGCTGGGTATTTAAGACCAAGTTAAAGTGAAACCTGTGTGAATCAACATGAACTTCTTGCCATCTGTCAAGGTCAGTTAAGTTTCTTCTGGCATTATTTTGGAACATGCAGGACAATCAAGACATATTCACTGAAGGCCAGAATTGTAAAAGGAGAGAAACTACCATAACTTTGTGCTTCCCTGGGGATAAATAGTAATGATTGATATTCCAAATAGGTTTCAATCACCTGGGGGGGGGGCAAGGTCTTAACCCAGCCTTTCCAGGAAATACCCCTGACCTCCACCCTTACTGAAAATCCTTGTATGTTTGCTGTGTGACTTGCTTCTCCATTGATCCCCATTTAATCAATATTACCTGGGAGCTGGGGATTTGGCTCAGTGGTTCTGCCACCAGCCTCACAAATGCAAGGGCCTGAGTTTGATCCCTAGTACCCAAAAAGAAAAAAAAAAGTGAGGAATACTACCTGGGTGACTGTACTTATAATCTTATTGGTTGATCGTGGTTTTGCCCCACCTCATGCCCACCTTGTAATTTTCCACTGGGTCTTACAGTGTTGTCCCACTTTGTACCTGCCTCATCACATGGTTTGGCTGTTTAAAACATCTTGGAGAAGTGGGGTGAGTGGGCAACCCACTTTCCAGTACCCCTTCTGTTTCTCTTAGAAGGCTTTCTTTTCCTCAATAAAATTTTCCTACTCAAAGGGGGGGGATCATGGACGTTAGCCCTCTTTAATCAAAATGATTTTACTCCAGTCATTTATTTACTGTGCATATCTTTCACAACTGAGGCTATTGCTCAATTTTTCTGTAGTGACCTATAGTTAACCAGGTAAGAAAAACAATTGCATACTCAAGCTACCCGATATTCATGCTATGAGTATCAGAAACTTAAGTGTAAATTGGTCTTCCAAAGTCAGGTTCTTCTATGTAATAATACTGAGAGTGCGTCTGCTTTTCCTTACTCTCTAATAGCATGGTATATATTAAGGACAACTAAAAAAACTGATTGATAAGAACTGAACCCACCTTTTAGAATAATATGTGTCATTTTCTTAAAATATAGGGACACCTGTATTGATATAAGGAGAAAACTCCCTTCCCCATGATAAAAGGACATTGAATTTCACTGCCATCTTTAGCTACTTCTTGCCTTCTGCTATTGCTTATATCTACCTTAAATTTAAGTGTTAAAGTCCAAATGGCACAGGTGATGGTATCAGCAGGTGAGGCCTTTGGGAACTAATTATATCTTGAGGGTGGAGTCCTCAGATTGAGGTTAACATCTTCAGAAAGCTGGCTAGTGGTTGTCACTATGAGGACATTGGGAAGGTGACATCCATAAGTCAGGTAGCGAGTCCTCACATGCACCTAATCTGCTGGCACCTTGATCTGGTACTTCTCAGCCTCCAAGTCTGTCAGAAATACATTCTTTGGTTTAATCATCACTGGGCCTTTGTTACTGTGTTATAACAGCCTAAATGGACTAAAGCAGAAAAGTAGGACTGAGAGTGCCAGTGTAAAAAATAACTATCATTGTGAAGAGGCTTTGGAACTGGGTGACGGGGAGAAATCGGAAGCTTTTAGGTGTCTGTTAGAAAAAAGCTTACATTGTCATGAACTTTTAAAGGTTATTTTGGGAAAAGTTTAGGGAGAAAAGCATAGATCTATAGAGAAAATCTTATACTTAATCCAAACATAATGCAGACCATTTTGATGACATGTCAGAATGAAATGAGAAACGTTTACTGGGCAGTGAAGGAAAGGCCATCCTTGATACAAAAAGGAAAGAACCTGGCTCAAATTATATTTACAGCCTAAAGTTTTGTGATAGGCAGAACTTGCTTATTTTTTAGGAAATCTATAAGCAAAGTGTTTAATAATTTAAAATGTGATTTTTCATCAAAAGGAAAGCATAATGCAAATATTTGGAAATTTATTAGCCTACCTACATTGAAAAAAATGAGAATACCTGTGTAGAAGAGAACATAAAAAAGATTTAGCCAACTCTCCATCTGACACGCACATTCTTCATCTAAGCAGAAGCCAGGACCATGGGTGAATGCTCCCCTCCTCCCCAAAGCCATTCGGAGGTCCTCAGAGGCGCACAGAGGAACACCACGCACAAGGCTCCCCGCTGCATTCCAGCTATTTATGCCTGATCTGCCCCAGATGTCGCTCCGGCAGGCCCAGGCTCAAGGTGGGTCACAGAGCCTGTCACTTCAGAGGTGCGGACATTTAGTGCCTCTGCTAGCACACAGGTGCAGAAGGTACAGCGGCATTTCTACACCTGTCTCGATCCAGGCTACAGCACTGCCCTCTCACACCCCCACCCCAAAAGAGAAGGGGTCCCTATGAACAAGGCTCTATTACAATTTTCACTTGAATCCATTACTTTTAAAACAAATTACAGTGAGATCCAACATCTTCCCTATTTACCTTCATACTAAAATTCTTGGAGATCTTTATCTCTTTCTGTGAATCCAAGATCCAGTTTTGATGTCTTTGACCCCAAAATGTTCTTTTAATGCTTCTTCTAGTGGAGGTTACTAATTAGTATTTCTCTCAGCTTCATGGTGTTTTAAAATTAAATAAATACTATATAGCCAAGTGTGATGAAGCACGCCTATAATCCCAGCACTTGGGAGACTGAGGCAGGAGGATTGCCACCAGTTCAAAGCCAATATGGGCTACACAGTGAGTTCAGGGCCAGCCTAAACTACAAAGTGAGACCTTGTCTCAAAAAAAAAAACTATATAAATATATTTTATATAGTGATACAAACATGTTATGTATCTTTTTTCTCTTCCAGTACTTAAAGACATCAATCCATTATCTTCTGCTTTTCATAATTTAGATGTTTGTTATAATACATTTGCTTTTTTGTATTTATTTTGTCATTTCTTCACTAGTTTCATTCCAGTTTTTCTCTTTATCTTTGGTTTTCAGAAATTTTAATGTGCGTATATTGTTGTTTTTTTCTGCTTTTATATTATTATACTTGATATAATATTTGCCTCTTAAATCTGTATTTAATTAGTTTTGGAAAATATTTCTCTCTCACATTTTTCCTTGCTTTTTCTGGTATTTCAATTCTCATGTTTGCTAGACCTTTTGATACTTTCACACTCATTTTAATCAGAAACTCTGCTATTTTTAAAGTAATTGTTCCTTTTTTTTCTTATTATTATGCTTCTGATTGGATAATTTTCTGGTTTATCTTTTAGTTCAGTGATTCTTTTCCTGGTTATACTGAGTTTATAAAGAGCCTAGCAGAAGCATTTTTAATCTCTATTTCTTAACTTATTTGTTCATTTCCTATATTTTTCATTTGATAAACTACTGTAGTATCCATGTCTCTGTTGAAATTTCCCATCTGTTTATACATGTTGTTCATCTTTTCCTTTAGAAACTCTAACGTATTATTAGTCATTTTAGATGAACTTTTCAGTAACTTCAACATCTAGGGCATCACTGAATCTGGTTGTATCATTTGCTTTTTCTCTTGATAAGTTTTTTCTTGCTTTGCTGTAAGCACTTCAATTTCTGAATGAACTGAATATTTTATATTTAAAACAGGGTAGACTTAATCGTAGTGATAGTACCTCCTTTAATTTTGTTTCTCAAGAATTCTGTATAATCACACTAACAAACTTGATGCTTCTTAATTTATTAAAATTGCCTAGATGACCTTATACACTGGAACAATGCTCAGCACCTCTCATCTCATACTTTACCACTAGTGACCAAATGTTTGTGTCCCATCCTTCTGTAGAAGGAGTTTCTTTCCTTTTTTACAGACTGTGTGGCTGGCCTCCAGCCGGAGGTCATGGTATTAAAGAAAAGTTATGATTCTTAACTCTACCCAGCTCTTATTTCTTGTTAAGGTGATCCAAGTATCAGTCTTTCCATTCTCCAAAGCTAGGGCAGAAAAATTTCTTTTACCAAATATTTCTGGAGGACTTACAGTGTTTCAATAACATTCTATGTGCTAAAGGAATACACTGAAACATCCAGTTCACAGATTTGGGGAGCAAACATGTTTTATATTTTAATTCAACTTACTAAATGCTGGTAAGGGCTATGGAGGTACAAAACAATAAAGAGTCTGGTACGCAAGGCAGAAATGAGTGATTTAGTTACATAAAGAAAAGTTCTTAAATCTGTTATGGGATATTCTGAAGGGAACTCTATGCAGAAAAAAAAATCAACCAGAATTTGAGAAGAACTATGAAAAGTCTGACATGCCCAAGGAATAATTAACAGTTTAGTATGCCAGGAGTAGGGGAAGCATTGATAACAGGAGATATGTGTTGACCCCATAGAGAACAGCTATAGAATAGGCTTTTTAATATATCTTATTGAGTTTTTCATACTTTCTAAGTATAGAGTACAGTTACATTCATTATTGGGATCTTGTGCCTTTACATGACAGGTCTTGGTTCTCATTTTTTCCCCCTTCCCCTGCCCTCCCTTCACCTCCTCCACTCTCCACTATCTACAAAGACTTTGTTTCCATTTTTTCCTTTCCTCATATTTTTCTTGTCCCTTATTTCCTTTCTCCTACCCATCCCACTTCCCCTACACCTTTAGCCCCTTTCTTCCTATTTCACATTATCAGTTATACAGTTTGTATCTTATTTACACTTTTAGTTTTCCACATCAGAGAAACTATTTGGTATTTACACGTGTGTCTTATTTATTTCACTTAAGAGCATGGCCTCAATATGCATCCATTTTCCTGTGAACGACTCTAGCTTCTCATATTTTATGGCTGAGTAGTACTCCATTTTATAGAAAAACCACATCTTCTTTATCCAGTCTCCAACTGATGGGCAGTTGGGCTGTTTCCAAATTTTAGCTATTAAAACTGTGCTGCTGTAAACATGGGTGCACATATATCACTTTGTAGAATAGGCTTTAAAAGGAAGAAATTTGGTTTATTTCTGTCTTGCCATTATTATTTTTGATGTGATGATACACAGTACTCAGTAATACATGCTGACTGGATGCATGCACATATTCCTAATCTGAGGGTCTCCCTTTTCTCTTAAGAACCAACCTTCCCTGTTTTACAGAAAAAGTGATCCACACCTGTGCCCTCAGTTTCCTTTGTTTACCTATTTATCAGTTTCCATCCCCATGTAAAATCAGTTTCTATAACTCAAAAACCCACATTCAGAGCGTCTTGCGAGGAATCAGAAAGCCTCCTCCTGGCTGGGATTCTGAAATAGTAGCAGCAGCTCAGAGCAGAAGAAAGGTTTCAGCCTTTCGGATCCTGCATGCACTCTCATAGTCCCCACCTGACCGGCTTCACAAAGGTACTTTAGTTTGGTGTTCTTGCTCTGTTGTCTTTAAAGTTCTCTCTTAATGATCCCCCTTCTCCCTGCTACCAAGCCATAAGCAGCTTAATACACCAGAGGCATGGACTGCTTTTAGATGTTCAGGACCAGTGACATCGCATGGCTCAGATCTCACAAGACATATTCCATGGCTTTCTCTCTCATGCATTCGGTGAGCAGGTGTCGCAGAGTTTTCTCAGGAGTGTGTGTTAAGTACAGGTGGAAACTGAGGCCTACAACTGAGCCAGTAAAGTTTCCAGCTCCTTCCTCTAAGACACCGATTTCCCATTTTCAGCTATTCTTTGTATAAATCAGCCATCACTAGGCTGTTCGTTGTTTTTAATCACCATATCTTACCGCCTTTCTCCAGGTCTGCACACATTTTCTGTCTCCCTTTTCTGTCTTTTTCACTAACTTGAGGTAGCCTGGAATGAAAAGAATGTGAGTTGTCTCTAGTGGTCTAAACATTTGTGCTGCCCTTCCCCTCCAAAATCAACAAAGGCTGCTGAGTCTATGAATTTAAAAGTCAAATTTAGGCTCATAATTATAGTGATGGAGTTGAAGAATTTTTGTTCTGTGTTTTTTCTTGTTTTCCTAGGTTTATCATCTCAGATTGATATCTGAATTCCCAAACCTCTTTTTCAGTGCTTTCATGTGAATACTACACATTTATTTATGCAGCATGCCTAATGACCACTAGTAGAATAAGGGAAATCAATTGGCATATTATTTGAGTCTGTCTTGCATAACATAATCACATGATATGGCACAGATTATCAGAGGGCTCTGAATGTCGCCTCTTCAAGCAAGACAGATTTTTAAGAGAATAATGATTCCCCCCACTCAGAGAAACATTTAAGAATTCAGGCAAAATCAGCTCAAATATAAATAATACCATAACTTACCATTTGTGTGGAATAAGATGGGCTCACCTCTTAAAACACCATTATTTCTGAATTTGACTTTAGTTCCTCTGAGATTAAATTTCTTTTTCTTCTCTGGCCACATATTGGTGACATGAGAAAGGGAATGAGGTTTATCTCCAGTTTGATATTGTCAGAAGTATATTAAGTAGAAAGAGCTGACCTCCTTAAGTGAGGGGACATCACATTTAGGAATTCGGGGAGCCAGTCGGTGTTATCTTCCCAACTCCACCCTGCTCATCCACTCCATGGGGGACTCCTTCCTTCTGGGGAAGGCCACTGTATAGGACAAAGTAAAACATAAATCGGTTCTCCTCATTTATCATAAAAAGTAAGCAAGTAGAGTGTCCAAAGCAACAATTTATATTTAATAAAATGATTCAGGACTTTCACTTTTGGACCAATGTGGTGATTTCTTCATGGAGAGTGCTGTAAGAGTAAGCGTAAATATTCAGGTGGTTGACAGCATCTAGGATACTTCATTCTCCTCACCTGTCTCCTTAATGCAATTTTCAGCCTCACCCTGGCCTGTCCCTAAGCTGCCAGGAAGTCAAGCAGGCTGTGTTGTCAGCCTGGATCACTCCCGTGTGCTGGGTACCTTATCTCAGGTTGGAGAGAGCATGGGAATTGTCCAGGCTGGAAGTCGTAGGGTGAGGCATCTCAAGTATGTTCTCTGTAGATGACTCCAAGAAGCTGGACAGAGGGCCTGTCTTCTCTGTTCCTTGCTGTGGTGAGCCACAGTCTGCCCCGCTCCTTGCCAAGTGAATGTCTCCAATAAAATATCTCACTTTAACAAAACTGTCAAGAGAAGGAATATCCTCTAGAGAGTGGCAGAGATAACCTTTTATAACCAAGTCACAGCGCTACCACATCTTTGCTTTTGCCTCAGTCTGTTCGTTAGGAGCAGTTCACTGAGTTTGACCTGCACTTAGAAGCCACACGGAGGGGTGACCATCAGGAGGCAGAAGTCAATGTAGGCCACCTCAGAGTCTGCATGCAAAGGCAGTGCATAAGAAAGCTGAAATACACCTTGAAAGTCATACAACAGAAACACACATTGACTGTCTGAAGGAAGGAGTTAACACAAACATTGGGCAAGTGGAAAGGACATTTGTCAATGCTATGAAATCTGGATTTGAAGATCATTTTAAAAATCTCTGCTAGCTATATGAGTCTGGGCATGCTAATTACCATGGTGTGTTCTATTTCCTTATATGTTAAGATGTTTATGTTAATTCTATTGTAGCAGCATTTCCTTCTTTTCTACCCATAGAACTTGGTTTTCTCTTGCTCTTCCACTCTCAGGCTACAGCATGAATATGGAGCTAAAATACCCGCCAGGGACAGGAATGGAGAGCAGGCAGGGCCCTCCAAGCCACAGTGACTCCAGGATGGCGGTGGGGTCTACTGCATGACCATGAAAGAGGGAAGAGTCGAGGACTTTTCTTGAAATATCAGCTAAGGCCGAGCCTTTTATAAATGAAAGCGAAGCACAGAGACTATAAGCCTGAGGTTGCCCATGGGTCAACCAGTTGCTAAGTTAGAAAAGAGCTGCATGAGAATAAAGCTAACGCAAGAATTCAACACTGAGATACAGAAGAAGAGACCCCTAAAACAATTTAAAGCTTAAATGCAGTCTTGCCTCAAGTTAAACAACTCTGACTCTTTAGTGATACAAACCAGTGATGTTTCTGATGAAGTCTATTTGATCTGTGCTGGTGACCATTGCCTGACCCATGGACCACCTAGAGCCACACAGAAGGTACAACTAACTCTCAGCAAAGACATGCTGACTAAGGGAAGAGAACAATCTTGGGATGATTAATATTAAAATCTAAGGGGCAGAGAGTTGGGACATAATCATCTACTAAGTCTTCCTTAATCCTAAAATTCTGTGCCTTGTTTTTTCCCAGGACACCTCCTTGAGTCTTTGCCTTTGAACTCATGTCCAAAATATTCAAGGATATCTTCTCAAATCTCTTCTGTTCATTCATCACTATTCCAGGCTCACTGCTGTGTAGGTGGGCTGAGCTTGTAAAACTATCTCTCAGCAGCCTCAGGCACAGGAAGCTGGCCCATAGACTTCCAAAAGAAAAAAAAAAAAAATCACTGAGCATTTAAGACCCAGAGCAGGAAGCAAAACTAATGAAGGAATGTCCTCAGCTTTCACAGGAAATTATTTTCACTCTGCCTCTATAAAAAGTAACAGATTTGACCCCTCATTCCTCTCCACCTCCTTCTCAGCAAACTTCCCAATAGAGGTGAAGGGAGAGCAGGGGGCCAGACTAAGGCAATGAAAGACAGGCCGCTTTTCAGGAAAACGATCTTCAGAAACCACTGGTCACACCCAAAAGCCTACGAGAATAGTTAAATCTACTGAGGGGCTGAATTGAACAATTTTGAGCACAGAAATCCATAGTTTTAGAAGTTATTGTGGAGAAAGAGAACCTCTTTCCAATAAGAAATTAAAGACTGGGAAGAAAAAATATATTCAAGCTACTTTCCTCACTATATTGTGGCTATTTATCACAGGAAGTTCACTTCTCTTATGTAAAGACTTTGATTCTATTTTGGTGCTTGAAGACTAAAAGAAAAACAAAGGCTGCCAGGTAACTGGGGTGGAGCTCCTAGGCAGAACGTGGTACAGAACTGATGTATTTGCATTTTTCTTTACAGATCCAGGCAGGCAGCATGTGGTCAGCAGCCTGGGATGGGTTGCAGGTTGTCATGACACCCAACGACAGTGCTGATATTCCAGATAGCCCAGTTCTGCCCAGGCTGAGCACAGAAAGAACATCTTCAACAGCAAGCTCTAGCCAGCCAGGATCAAAGCATCATGATAGACAGAGGGCTCTGCTGATAGGAGAAGCCTGTGGTCAGTTCACAGGCCAGGCACTGTGGTGCCCACAGTAGAGAAGGTTTGAGCTATCCCTGCCCTGCAGGACTCACTTTAGTCTTAATCCTTCGTGGTTCAAGATCCATGAGGCCGAGATCCTTTTGTTCTTCTTCTCACTCTAACATCAGTGTCTCACATAGTGCTTGATGAGCATATTTGTTGATTATGTGAGTAAAGAATTAACTTCCTTGGACAAAAAGAGATAATATTTAGAATACCATGATCCATACAGAACCAAACAATTAATGCAGTTAAAGAGAAAAAAATGTTTAAATGTCCACAACCAAAATAGTTAGGAAATGTTTTCAAAGCACTTGAATAGACCATTGATTCCTCACATTAGCGCACTCTTCGTGCTTTTGGTTTTTCAAAGCCCTTCGCCTTTTCACATATTCTTTGATAGTCACGATCCTACATGTTGGGCGAGTCTGCCAGCCTTTCATTTGCTAGTCCTTCTACATGTAAATTCCTGCTATTGACAGTCAGTCAGGAGTGCGGCACAGAGAACTGTTTCAGATGTGACCTATTCCCCTGCCCTCAGAAGCTCACAGGAAGTGATGAATATGCACATAATCGCAACACAACACGCAGACAAATAATTACAGCAAAATGCTGCGACTGTCCATGGAGAAACTCGGAAATCACATGAAGTTGTTGAGTGGTTTTTGCCTCTAGGAGCCAGGGGAGGGTCACAAAATGATGGAAGTTTAAGGAAGGAGATTAAAGCTGGGGCAAAGCAAATGACTAACTGGGCTCAGATCCTAAAAACCCACAGGAAATGCCCAGAACAGGAGACCCGAAGTGACTCCACAGTTTGGGTGCACTGTACACTCAACCAATCAGAAAGCTATATTTTTAACCACTCATTTGAAGAGGGAGCTGTTTGCAGGACCAATCAGAAAGGTTCTACTTTCAGTTTTTCTACATCTTGCTCTAAGCCAAGCAAGTCTTTCAATAGGTCAAATTTAAATCTGTCCCCAGGCTAAGTGAGTTTGTGATAAGAGAACTGTCCCAGTGCTCCCCCCCCCCCAAGGAGAAGTTAATCCAGGAATTTTGTAGTGAAAAGACCCCTTTCCCTTATCTTCCAGGCTACTGTAAGTCTGCTCCTTGGTCTGTTCTCATCCTACATAGCTAAACACTTTCCAGTTTAAATTAATCTGCACTTTTCCTGCCTTCTCTGTGTCTTTTCCATTTCTTTGCTTAGGACACCAAGAACCTGAAAAGAATTCCTACAGAAGCCACCAGCCATAGAAAACGTATCTGGCAAATATTTAAAAGTAGGAAAAGGCTTTTCAGAGAAAGAGATGGTTCCAAAGGTGTTTGCCACTGCAGCAGGGACAGCCCTTTTGGACAATGACAGATCATGGGTCTAGGGATAAAAGTTAAGGCTAATTGTGGGTGGTTTTGAAGCATCAAGAGTGAGTCTTGGGCCAGGGATTTAGCTCAGTGTTTCTGCCGCCTGCCTCTTAAACTCAAGGATCGGAGTTCAATCGCCGGTACAAAAAAAAAAAAAACAAAAAAACAAAAAAAAAAGTATACAAAAAAAAAAAAAACAAACAAACAAAAAAAACAGTGAATCTTGTCTTTCAAGTTTTGGTCATGGGAGATATTTAAAAATAAATATTCTAAAAAGGTAGGATAAGGTGTTCATATTTACACATTATTTTTCTAGTTTTTCAGAAGGCTGCTCTGACTTGACATGCCCAGGTCATAAGGAGACTATTAAAACAGCCAAGGTCATGCCAGACTGGAAATGAAATGTCAAGTACCTACTTCCTGCTTGCTATTTAATCATTAAACAACTTTTGTCATGTGGAAAAGAGTTAATTATAATACAGGCTAGAAATTCATGTACCTGAAAATCTTTAGAAGGGAAAATGTAGGGGAAGGAACCAAATAGAATAGCAGATACTAAACAATCCATATCAGTCTGAATCTGTTTTACATTTCATTCCAGACTCTGCAAATTAGAACTAACACAATGAATCTTTGTAAATTAATGAGGGTAACAGCTGGAAAGAGAATCAATCATGCACTCTAGAGTTCCCAAACCTTCCTCTTTGGCAATAACCTGAAATGAACCTTGGAGTCATGACCTCAGGCCAATAGCATACTCCATACCCTTTGAGCAGAACAATTAAATAATCACATTCCTCCTGGCCCAACTTCCTAAATATATTAATTAGATTAAAACACAACTTGTCAGGTCCCTGGAGAGGAAGGAGTTTCCTGGTTTTGCTTTCTCTTGCCCTCCAGCTTCTGACAATGAGTCCTGCTTTAGTAGAGTGGGGCTGGATGCCTGGCCAGGCAACCGTGAGTGCTGTGCAGCCCCCCACGCCCTTGGACCCGGCTCCCTCATACCTTCTCTCTTTGAACTTCTCCACCCGTGGCATTCTCTTTCCTTTACTGGAACCTCCCCCATCAGTTCTAATTATCCCATGAATCCTCTCAATACACAAGCTATGTGACAGCGATTCATGGCTCAATTTCAGCATCCCATCCACCCAGCCATCTCTTCCATCCTTAAGACAGACGAGTTCAAAGTCCAGTTTTCCGGTTCCCACTGCCTGCGATCCTAAGCAGACTACTTAATATCTCAGTGCCTCAGTTACTTGGTCTACCTGTCAGTTACTGTCCTCTCCTTGATGACACAAAATACCTAACACCCAAAGTTAAAGGGCGAGGGTTTATTCAGCTCACCGTTTGTAGTGGTTTCAGTCCGTAAATGGCTGGCTCCCAGTGGCAGCAGCACACAGCAGAGAGGCATCACACAGGACAGTCTGTGGCGCCCACACAGTAGAAAGAGCAACAAGACAACCCTGCCCCTTTTTTCTTACCAGAACTGGGGCAGTGCCAAACCAGTCAGTGTACTGGCTTAGTAATCACAAGCCCTTAATCCCAGCATCACACACTCTAGATTCAGTGATCTCTGAAAAAGCCACCTATGACTGCATGAGGCTTTGTGGGGACACCTAGACCCAAGCCATAATGGTTTGTGAAATGGGGAAGATAACAGGACTTATCTCCTATGGCTTCAGTGGCTAATGATTTCCTTGCTGTGAAGTGATTCTAGTGGTGCCTGGATCACTTAATGAGCAACTGCTCTGGACTAGAGCTTTGGAGTTTTAAATATAGGGAGTGCTTCCCTTGCCCAAAGTAGTGAAACACAAAGCAGATTAAATCGTAAGTTCAGCTAAATGCAGCAATGAAGAGAAGCATGGGTACCTAAAAGCACAGCACAGAGGCTGGGTGGACTGTTGCAGCCAGGTGAGGGTGCTCCCTGCTGGGCCTCTCAAGTGTGTTGACACTGGTCACCCAGTGGTCTTCAGAGGCCCCCACCTCCCAAAGGCTTTTCTGAAACTCCCACCTAAAACGTGCAGTGCACTGCAATCCTGTGTTTCCTTTATTATTTTTCTTTATCGCTTTTACCACGAACTACATTCTATTATTCCAGGAAGCTAAACTAGATAGAGATTAATACACAGCCAGGGAGGGCCTGGCTCTCAAAGAGGTCAGCAGAAAGGATACAGACATCAGAGTTGTAGCTGGAGGTAAGCTGAAGAAGACCAGGCCTCGAGATAAAGATGCAATGGACAGACCTGCAGGCCTCCCTGAGGGACGAGCAGCAACTGGGAATCGAACTATACTGTTAATCGCCTGGCCTAGGAAGTCCAGATAGACATGCAGGTGGGAGACCACAGCATCTGGACCCAGCCCTTCCCAAAATGCCTCTGTTCTCTCTATTTCCCTCGCTTTCTTACCCGCTTCCCTAATGGATCAATATTACCTAAGTGGCTGTGCTTGTAATATTATTGGCTGATTATAGTTTGGCCCACATTGTACCCATCTTGTGATTTTGTATCCACCTCATGATTTTGCTCTATAAACCATTCTTACAGAACTTGCCTCAGTGGCAACTCACATGTGGGTCCCCTCCTATCTCTCAGGAGATTTATCTCAATAAATCTTTCCTATGCTTTACCTCCATTGTTCATTAGAATTGATTCTTCCATTTCAGGGGACACAGACTCAGTATATCTGACATCTAACAGGTTGGGAATTACATTTACCCCTATATGATTATTATGTGTTTGCCTATTCATATGTCTGTCAGTTCTTCTCAACGCCTGGTCCCTGGACCACCAGCAGCATCACATTTGGAACCTTCTAGGAATACAGAATCTTGGGTCCCATGCCAAACAAAGAAATCAGAATCTCTAGCTGCCTCTGTCTAAGTAATAACCTGCAGGTGCTTGGGGCTGTCATTCAAATTTGAGAGACTCTGGTTTAGAGTCTGTCTCCACTGAGGAATGAGAAATGAGAGCTCCTTAAAGTAGGTAAATTTGTTTATATCTAGAGCTTAAATCTATATCTGAAACATTGCTCATGTTCCATCAGTAGTTGAGTGAATGAATGAACAAATAATGGCTGTTTTTCTTGGTGTCCAAGCCAAAGCTAGAATCCAATCATGCAGGTCTATTTAGTTCTCTTCCACTCAGCTCTATTTGCTTTCACAACTAGGCTGCAGAACAAAACTCCAAAGAAAGAAAATATCATCGTGCCATTTTTGTACATATATTTAGAAGATGCTTAATATTTAGGTAGGAAGGGAAGGATTTGAGCACAAGTGTATGTTGAAGCAGGTTTTATAATGCTCAGGAGAGGTGGAAAGGCGTTATTGGACAGAAATCCAGTGTGCAGCAGATTTTTGCAACAAGAAAGAATTCTGATACTTGACAAGAACGTGTAGGTGTCCACCAAAAACAGCATTAAAATACCAATGAACAAGGGGGGAGAGGGGGAGGGGGAGGGAAGGGGGGAGGGAGAGGGAAGAAGGAGACAGGAGGAAATGGAGGGAAGCAGAAGCTGGATGCTGTAGACACAGGCACTGTGAATCTCATATTTAGATCTCTATAGATTATAGATCTTTTAATTTCCTTAGAAAGTCGCTGTGCTCTCTCCCTTGCCTATTGATCACCAGTGCAATGACCTGCGTGCCCCTGTGGTCCTGAGGTGCGTCCATGACAAACCAAGAAGCCAAAGATAGAAGAAGCAGACAGCTTCACCAGGGAGAAGGCTACTTCACTGGGGTGTAGTGGCCCTCAGTCAGAATGCTGCTGAGTCCATTGCTAAGAAGAAATTGTCTGTGGTTACATGTCAGTGTGTGTGTGTGTGTGTGTGTGTGTGTGTGTGTGTGTGTGTGTGTGTGTGTGTGTGTGTGTGTGTGTGTGTGTGTGTGTGTGTGTGTGTGTGTGTGTCTGTCTGTCTGTCTGTCTGTGTGTCTATTTTTGGTCCCATTGTTTAAGTGAGGCCACAGTCATATAGTCACATTAAAGTCCAGCTTCTCAGTGAAGATCAGAAGAATCACAAACGCAAAGCCATTGACTCTAAATTTGGGGTGGGCTGTTTGCCTTCTCCTCTGGATCTCTGGGTATTTTTCACAGACAGCAGCAGCACCCCAAGAGATATTCTGAGCACCTCACTCTTAGCACCTGTGCAGGGCTTACAGTTCTGTCTCCTCTGGCCACTCATAACCTCACTTTGCAAAAATGCAACAGATTCCTAATGCTCATCACTTTAAGTACGAACGGAAGATGATATTTTAAAACGGATGGGAGATGGCCTTCTGCGGTAAAGTATCAACCCTCTCAGGGTGGCAGATTTAAACAGGATGTATTCACCAGTCAAGCTCCACACTGAACAAAGTTTGAGGAGCAGGATGTGGCTGTGCCTCGATACCAGGTGATCTGACACCCAGTGTGTGACCGTCTGTACACTGCAGAGCGGGCAGTGGCAAATCCACCTAGAAGTGACACGTGCCCCTCTTATGACCAGAGATAAACACATGTTCCTCCCCAAGGTCCTGGGAGACAGGGCACTGCTGGCAATCCAGTCAGTGAATCTTTCTGTGGCCCAAACTTAGCAGGTGCTCAGCACGACCAACCCAGGAACGAAGGCCTGCAGATCCACTATCCTGTTCCTCACTGTGTGCCATGCCCTGCACGGTTAGCAATAAGTCATTTCACTGTGCATCACAGAAACCCTGGAAGGTATGGAGAGCTCCCCTCCTCTGCCAGCGGGGAGTGTGCTGCAGGCCCACAGTCTCTCCCTCAGGTGTGGGTGATGCATCTTCTCCCTAAACCATCACCAAGGCCACTTTTTGAGTTCACACAACACCCAGATAAAGCTGACAGTCACTGGACAGTCACTCCCAAGGCAGACTTTCTTGATTTCAATAAGGAATTAATATCCCCCTGTTATTTATTCTCATTAGTGTTCTCTTCAGACTTTTGTCATAATTCCTACTAATCTCTGATGACTCCCAGTCTCAGCAGTAGGAGTTAGGAAGGCAGAATTTCCTGAGGAGAGACAGAAATGTGTCTGATTGCCTTGGTTTTCTCTGTTGACCACAATGTCACCAATCAGTCAAATATCAGTAAATATTACCAAATTAATGGCATTCCCCTGTTCTAATTTTCTCCTGTTTTTATTTCTCTGATCCATCCCACAAAAAACAGATCAATATTTCTAACATATTGCACTCATCAAACAGTCCCAGTCCTTCCGGACTTCCTAAGCCCACGACACCTGATCGAAACTCAAGCTGCTGCCTCGAGTGTCTTTTCCAGATTGGTCTGATATGTCCCCCTAGCTGGACCCACAGTGGCAACCCCTTAATTCCTGTCTTGCAACCACTCACAGTTTTGAAAGGCTGGCCATGATTTCATTAGCAGGTTAGAGTTTTAATTGTAATTGGGAAGAAAGGCCATTCCAGATGAGAGCACTAGTCACTCTCTCACTGTGGCCTTACCATCAGCCTTTTGTAGGCTGGGAAGGTAAAGAGGAGTCACAGGCAATGGAATCAGTCTTCATTTAGCATCAGTGTGGAGTCCTTTGCAAGTAGCCTTTTGTACCACATTAGCTCATACATTAACCCTGAGGTATACAAAGTTTTGTTTTTACTGTATAGAGAACAGGATCAATGCATTTTAGAAATATAAACAAAGTTCAACAGCAAATTGATTCTCAGACTTGGGGTTTTTTTCTAAGCTCAACTAAAAAAAAAAATTACTTACAAGTCAAATGATTTTGGTTTTCTTTCATACTCCAGAGCCCTTGAATGGAGGCATTGGTACAGTCATGTTCTCTAAACATTTAACTTCCAAAGTGCCAACATACTAGTAAATGTCAAAGAGGTCTTTAAAGGTCCCGTTCCTTTTAAACAGGAAGTAACAACGTGTTAGAGAGAAGATAGTAATAGGTGGTAAAGTAAAACAAAATCTGAGCAGCTTCGCATCTCAGGATGAGATGGAGAAAGTGTTTATCTTTGCAGTATCTGGCAGGATATCACTCTTAGGGAAGGACGGTGAAAGGGTCCTTGGCCAGTGTGGTGAAAAAAATGTGCAGAAAGAAAGCCCTTTTGGGGTAGATGAGTCCATAAAGGCTGTAGGTAGCATTGATGCTGTGGCTCCAGAGACAGGAACTTCATCTCTCTACAAGTTCCAAGGAGGGAAAGTCTGAAAGTGACAAAGATGGGGATGGCAGAGGCAGTAATGGAACAGGGGCAGGACAGACAGAGGCAGAAGCAGAGACAGATGGAGACTGGGAGAAAAGTTCTTCTCATTCAGCAGTGTGACCTCTTGAAGTGATGAATCCCAGTCCAATGTTGGCCAAAAGTAGTAGGGATGCTCAGCTCTGATTTTAATTTAACTGGTACCTACTCAGAAGCAGGATCTAAAAATAGAATTGTTAGCTCTTAGGCATTTGCTAACGTCTTGGGAACGATGTGGGGCTTGCTCAGCATTGAAATTTAGAAGGGGTGTGGAAATTAATCCTAAAAGGCAGTGTTCTGAGTGGTTGCTGCCTGG